TTCTCAGAAAATAAATTTATCTACTACACACAACGAACACAAAAAATTCATTTTTTTGTATGTGAAAGGTTATACTTGAAATCAATTATTTTTAATATGAATTATTGTGTTTAAAATACTAAGTGATTGTTCATGATTATATAAATCGGAATTATATATATTTATCATTAACGTATAAAGATTGTATCATGATAAAATTGTGCTGAATTTTATACTAATTAAAAAAACCATCATTTTATTTTGAATTTCGATTTGCAGCGCTATGTCCCCCTAGGGACACTTGCGCCATCTTATTGTTATACAGGAATAAAGATTTAGCGCTGTTAAATTATGCATTTCCAATTATATAAATATATCAGCATTATACATTTTCAAAAATCTGTATAGAATTACCTAATAATATTGTAAAATATAAACATTTTGATATTTTCATCATATATAATAAAATATTGTGTGTTTGTTCAATAATGATAATATAATATAAAATCAAAGAATCGCACACATACGCAGAAATAGTCAAAAATAGAAATGATAAAATATTACAAAAAAATAGATACACTTATGATGAGAAAACACTGATTATATTTGCTAATGATGATCAAAATACAGCCCAAAAGGTGAATGAAACAATGAAGCAATTTCGCCAAAAAGGAAATACTGCCAAAATTTCAAAAATGATAAATACACGAAAGGGTACAATATTAAAATCACCCAACGAACAAGACATAGATCAACTGATTGAGAGTTTCAGGAAAATTGACGAATTGAACCAAACATGTAAAATCTATAAGCCTAATCAAAGAGATCCAACTATTGTTATAAAAATGTAAATAAATCAACAGACATATCTGATCTTACAAACACATATTTGAGATGAACCCAGAACTTAACAACTTTAAAAACGAACTAAAGGTACTTTTCCCAATTAAGTCCAATAAACCTGATCATGACGTGGTGCTGAGAGTTTCGCCCCGGGCCTACCAAGCTATAATGAAAGCCAACAAAATTTATACTGATGTACAAAGATTTGAAGTTCGAGACAAAGTCCTGGTGAACAAATGTCAGAACTGTTTCATATTCAACCCTAACCACAAGAAAAACGACTGCCCAAACTTGAAAAAATGCGTGAACTGCGGTACAGAGGGTCAACATCAATGTTCTAATATAATAAAGTGTTGCAACTGCGTCAAACACCCATATTTTAAAAATAACAATCTTGATCACAAACCAAATTCTAAAGATTGTTCAAATAACAATAAACAAATCAGCCTGATGATTCAGCGAACAGATTACACAACAGGTTCAGAAGATAGTGTAAACTAAATTTTCAGAAATTTTTTGAGTCCTTAATGTATATTAAAATTATTCAACAAAATACCAGAAAAAGCAAAAATTGCATAAATGAGCTTTGTGCATCTGATAAATTAGAAATGCAGATATAGTAATGATACAAGAACCTTATATAATCAAAGAGGAGGTAATATTTCCAGGACCTTGTACAAAATATCAATTGATGAATAGTCCCAATATAAATACGGCAATAATTGTAAGAAATAGCAGCTTAAAAATTCAATTAAGTACAGAATTCACTAACTCATTTGCTACAACTATAACCATACAAACAAAAAGTAAGAAAATATATCTTTCGAACATTTATATACATCCGAATTCAATGAAAAATGAGCACGAGGAGTTTATGAGGAAGTTAATTAATACAAACTTACATATACCGGTGATAATCTGCGGCGATTTCAATGCCAGAGCTCCGTTATGGTATGACATCAGGAAAAATTATAATGGACACAGACTGATCCCTATCATAGATGAAATAAAATTAACTATCCATAATAATAAAACTTTCACGTGTCGTGATGCAAGTGTGATTGATCTCACACTAACGAATAAACAGGCAATTGCGGCGATCAGAAATTGGAAGACACAGCAGATATCGCAAATTTCAGATCATGTAGCTATATCTTTTGAAATACATACAAACGAACAATTTAGTTCAGAAAAATATTAATCCTCTTGGAAATTTAATGAGAAAAATGCGAACTGGTTAAGGTTTAGTCAGAGAATTAACAGTACTGAACGAGAAAAAATTGAAAACTTATTAGATATAGTGGATACACCAGAAATGATCGATCAAACGGTAAAAGAACTTACGAACATACTGATTGAGGCAGCACATAATTCACTTAAAGTAAATAATAATATGACAACAAAAATAATATTAGTAATAAGTGTGGTGGAATACGAATTTACAGCTTCTAAAGGATCACTGTCATTATCTTAGAAACTGTTACTTTAGAAACAAAAATTGCCCTAATCATATTAAACAATACTATAAAAGCATACGAAATAAGTATTTACGGGAAATATAAAAAGTTAGGAAAGCATCCTGGAGAATTTTTCTGGAGGTAAACAAATCGAACAACCCTTATGGAAACTTATATAAGGTGTATAAAAACATCAAAAGTGGATCTAATCGAAAGAGAAATATGCAAATTTTGGAGGGTAATACTGACATGGAATGTTTGCAGAAGGGTGAGGAATTATTAAATAACTTATTTCCAGATGATAAATGTGAAAAAGATACAAACACCCATAAAAGTATAAGAAATTATAATTTAAAACTACTCAATAAAGAAAAACCGATGGTTATGATTACTGAAGTTAACGACTTAATTGACAAATTAAATTCAAAGAAATCTCCCGGAATAGACAACATCTCTAACAACATGATAAGGCACACTAAACAATTTATAGCTCCTATATTGGTGAAACTATTTCAAAAATGTTTAGACCTACAATACTATCCTGCTGAATGGAAAAGAGCAGAGGCAATAATTATTCCGAAACCTGGAAAAACAGATTTTAATAACTACAAAAATTATAGACTTTTATGTCTTAATTCCAACATTTCTAAAATATTTGAGAAAATAATTAATAATAGAATAATAAAATATTATGAAGATTTTAATTTACTAAGTGATCGACAACATGGCTTTAGAAGATCGAAATCTACTATTACTGCACTAACTGAAATAATAAAAATTGCGTTAGAACATAAAACAAGAGAATATGCAGCAATAATTGCAGTGGATATTAGTGCAGCGTTTGATAATACATGGTGGCCGGCCTTGATGAAAAGACTAGATGAAGATGGTGTGCAGTCTTCAATGATAAAACTTCTACAATCATACTTTGATACTAGAAGAATAAGATTTAGATATTCCTCAACTGAAATTAATAAGAAACTAAGTAAAAGATGTCCACAGGGAGGACCACTGTCTCCCACATTATGGAATATTCTTATTAATGAGATACTGAATAATAATCTGGGTGATAACTGTGAAACAATAGGATATGCAGATGATATTACGTTAATATGTTGGAATAAAACACCTGAACAACTATGAAAGACAATAGATAATGTATTAAGAAAAACAATAAGTGGTGTGAAAGTCGTAAATTAAAATTGTCAGATGAAAAAACAAAAATATTATATTTATATAAATGCAATAGCGATATAATAGTCTCAGGTAGCAAGTTAATTAAACCGGTTGAAGAACTTAAGATCCTAGGAGTGACTATTAAAAATCACCGAGTCAGAAGCAAACTGAACTTTACGCCTCACGTTAATGAAACGATCATAAAAGTAACTAGAGCTAGTGGATACCTATTTGGCCTGACAAAGAAAGCATGGGGTCTAGACTTTAGACGAAGACTGATACTGTATAAGACATTATATCGAAGTACAATTTCATACGGTTATCCAATATGGTATCCATTCATAAACAAAAAGTCTAAGGACAAACTAAATTCTCTTCAATATAATATTTTAAAACATTGTATACAAGCCTACAGTACAACATCATCGGATTGTACACACATACTTGCACAAGTCCCCAAACTTACTGAATATATTGAATCTAACATGCTGAAAACCGAAATAAATTACAACCGATTTGACTCTTCAAGTAGGAATATAATTTCTAATTATATAAGGAAAAAAATTGCAGAAATACTATGAGAATACTAACACCATTTTCAAGTCCTTCTTTACTGATTCCCAAATACCCAAATATGTCAAGCCAAATTTTTACAACGTTTAATTTTTTACTGCACACGGTAACTTTAGATCATATTTGTACAAGGTCAGAAAGACGGATTCGCCTGAATGCTAATGTGGTGCAGAAGAAGAAAATCCTGTACATATTCTAACGGACTGTCGACTTGTAGAGGACTTGAGAGTCAAAAATCAAATAAATATAAATTGCCTAAATCAAATAGTTAATAATAGATATATGTATATAAATTTTAATAGATTTTGTAGAATGTTTTTTAGCAATAGATAGCCTGGGCTGTAATAAATGGTAAATAGTTATATGCTGCAAATAGCTCTAAATTTCAGTTCTTATCTGTGATGTTCACTAATATTCATTATAGGGTAATTAAATCGTTAACTAACTGACAAATACGTTAATAATTTCATTTATTATTACTAAAATCATATTAATAATTACTGTAAAAGCTCCCAAACTTGTGTATGCATGCAAATATCCAAGATGGATATCGCGTGCTTTGTAAATGATAATAAATAAATAAATAATATCTATAAATTGTATAATATTTATTTGAAATCTTATTTTTAATGAATGATGTTCAAATAAACATTCAGAAAAAGGTTTTTTTTCAAATTCTTTTCAGGTGTTGCGCTTTCGAACAAATTTGGCTCTTCAACGGGAAAATCCAAAAACAAATGAAGTGAGATGTTATATGGCGTGAATCAGATTATATTACAGATAAATATATAATACAACAATATAATGTGGCTTATGATTGTAGAACGAAGTTTGACAATTTTATCGCAAATGTTTCTTTTGAACGGAAATTCGTAAATTATTTTAAGGAGAAATAACGATTATTTCCATCCTTAGGGATGAAGTATGAAAGGATGAATTGTGAAGAGTAATAATAAACGGAAAAATAAAAGTGTCCAGGGATGGGAATCGAATCCACAGTAATCCACGTACAGAGCAGATGCCATGTCCACTAGGCTACCCTGGACATATTTTTCCGTCCGTTAAAATAGTTTTTATTTCTCCTTAAAATAAATTAAGAATATTGTTCAAAATAAACATTTGCGATAAAAGAGATAAATTCATATTAAAACACTATATATTATTTTATATTTAGCTGTGTGATATTATCTTATCCTCACGCCTGCGCGTGGATCCATTTCTTTTTGAATTTGACCAAATGAAGAGTAATATTTTCTAGAAAGATTTCAACAACTCGAAAAAAAAGGAACTCTTTGCCCAAAAGTTAGTTTTCCTTAATCAAATATTTTTTGAGTAACTATTGTTTGCACACACACACACACAGGAATAAAGTTATCATCATGGATATTAATCAATAATTATAATATTTATTCTTTTTATTCGATTTTTTAACAACTTCATAATTCTAATACTATATATCAGACCTAACGAAATTTTCTACAAACAAATATATACAAGATAGGGAAGTACAATCCCGTAGTATATCAAAAGATGCAGTGGTCGTGAAGATGGTCAAAATTTAAAAAATAATTTAACAAAATAATCGGAGAGACAGTAAAATTTATGAAAAGTTAAACAAAAGTGTTTGAAATAATCAAATAGCAGCTTTAGTCGAACAACTTGTCGTATGTTTAGACATAAAAGAAGTAACACAAGAAATCAATAATGCACGGGCAGGTTAAGTCGCCTTCTACTCCTTTGAATCTGCTGCCTTGAATTAAAGGACCTCCGCAATCTCCTCCACCCAGCCGCTGGTTGCTAGGCAACAGGCATTCTTTTTTATCATCATCACTTCGACATAGCTCACCCTTCGTCTGCTTCTCTCTCTAAACTAATATTTCGCTCTCAATATGATTTTTTTTTTACTTTCACATATATCGTTTAAAGTTTTTTTGTATTCTTTTTTTTTTTCGTAAATTGAGATGTGAATTTTTCAAGAAATAAAATAATATGAGTCTCAATTTTAAGCATACATATAGGGGTCTGTTTATTATTTCCCAAATATAAATAGCTAATTAAATTTATTATTTAATAAAGGTATGCTTGCTTGTGTATACAAACAGCATTGAAATATATTAATTTCATAAATTAAATGATTTTATTTTTCAAATTATATTGTTTTATATTTGTTCTATTATTCAATTTAAACCGATTCTTTAGAATGAAAATATCTTTCTAACATTATCCAGAAATATATTTTTCATTTTAAAATAAATTCTATATTATAAAATAAATGAAGCTACCAGGGTTAAGATTCTTCTGCAACTTTTTATTTTCAAGCTTTTGGACTTATCAATCCTTCAACAGGATTATCACGTTAACAACTTAATAATAAATACAATTTTTATATAAATATTATTATATACACATATTTTAAATACTTATTATATATTAGGAGAAAATATATTACATCTATTTGAAAATATTGTTATTTCATCATCTAAATCCTTTGAATGAATATTATCAACAATAACAAAATTACTAGAATCAATTTTTTTTAAATTATTAATACGCACAAAAGTACTTAAGAGAGATTGAGATTGAAACTACTTTATTTCAATGTACATATAAGGTTAAATACAATATTAATATGATTATATAATGATAAAAATATGAATAAATAGATAAAAATATATAAAATATTTGATAAATATACATACATATATGTTATATTTATTTTGTTGTTGTTAGATAAAGGGTTGATAAGACAAAGGATCGATAAGATAAAGGGTTGAGGTGCAGTCGTGATAAACAAAGATAATTATTTACCGTCAAGTAGCTTTTATTTTAAATTACTTGAGGAAAGATTACACATTAGTTATTTTCACATTATATAGAATTTATAAAGTTAATCCTATATTAGTGATTTAAATGGATAGATATATTAACTACGCATATTTACAACAAAACTGAAAGTCTTTCTAAAAACGATGATAACAAAAGTAAAAATATCAATGAATAAAATAAAATATATATATATATATATAAAAATATAGAAATATTTGAGTTTTTTGATTATATAATATATATATACAGTCTTCATTGGTGGGGCCCACCGCGGGAAAGACTCCGCCACCGATGGACTGCGAGAGTTCTCTCCCACAGTGTGGGCAGGTCGATAAGATGGCTTGCATTACCCAACTCAAGACCAAGATGGTACTAGTAGATGGTAGCTTTCGCTACATTAGTAAATTTCATTGCCTCGGGATGGAGGCCGACGCCGAAGAGCCATGCCTGCAGATCCAGGAGCACTTCGCAGAATAGAGGCGATAGAGAGAGAGGAATGAGTATTTAATTGAAATAAAGGTAAATAATTTATACTATTTATAAATACCTTGCAATATTATTTATTTAAGGTATGATAATACATCAAATAAATACAAAAAAATGAATACGTTGCATTGCATTGACAAAGGTTGACGTTCAGCCAACCGAAATATATTAACAAATAAATATTTTAATTAAATTTAATATAAACTAATATATTGATTCGTTTGTTATCATTTCCATATTAATATTCATATTAGGTTAAATGGAATAAATATTTGGAAATTGAAAAGAATAATATAAGACAATTATAAGATTCATTTTAACTAGCTTTATTAAATTCTGGAGTAATTCCAGTCTTTCAAGAGATATACTCCTAAGCGTAATTTTCTATATAGACAAACAGCCCCCCCCCTCAATTTTATGGAATATTGTCTATATCTATATATATAAAAATCAATGTTTGTATGTTTGTTTGTTTGTATGTCCGGTATACAAATTCGCAGTAGTTCACTAATTCAAACCAAAATTTTCATACACAGGTAAAAATTTACGGGGAAGACGATAGGCTATTTTAAAAAATATATAAATTAATTATTAAAACTATATATTAAAATTATTCTACTTAGCTCACGAACAGCGCCCTCTATCAAAGATTAGATTAAATTATGCTGATGCAAACAAAAAGATAATGCTAATAACAAACAATTATAAAAAAAAATATCTAAATATATATCACTCGGGTAGATATGCACACGGATCAATCCCGGGGCGAAGCCCGGGTCACCCGTCTAGTATGTTATAAATAATAATGATGAGTGAGATTTTCTGCTTGATTTTGGAATATCTTGGGATCATATTATGTTAATGCAGTCGTGGTTTAAATAATAATCTTGAAAATATAAAGTCTTTTTTAATCAGAGATTTCTTTTTTTGAGCTAAGGAAGATATATGAAAAACATAATTTGATTAAAATAATGCCTGGCTTAAGGCGAGTAGAATAAGGAAAACAGAAGATTATTTACATATTGTACAAAGGTTTTGAGCCGGCCATCGGGAAAGAACAACAACGAGTTTTTATAGGGGAAGCATGACCTCTGGCAGTCGATTTAACAGAGTATTAGTATTTATGATATATAATTCTAAATATAGAAGGCCTATAACAATAACTACTTGGTTTTGTGGATTATCCATTATAATATAAATAATGTACTAAAAAACTAGCACTATATTAATCACTAAACAAGGGTGTAGTAAACGAGGGATAGCAACGAAGGAATACAAAGTGTTCGTGGCCATTCATCAACTCAACCTCAGAACTCTCACGGAAGACTCTCATCCATTCTCCATCTCTTCTCCACACACACCTTGTCTACACATTTAATGAATATTCTATTCCAACCTTTTAATGTGAACATTGTTTAAATTGGTAGATATATATATTATATATAAAACCGTAATGTGCGCCATCTATTTATAAGAAATGGAAGCATTAAAGATATCCTTATATCTATAAAAATGAAATGCGAAATCGATGTTTGTTATCGCTTCACGCAAAATCTACTGACTCAATCATAATGGAATTTCGCATGTAGGTAGCTGAAGATTTCGTTTAACATATAGGCTAATCAAAAAACTAAAAAAGTCAATGTGCTTTTTTCAAAAAATAAAAAACCAACAAGCGATAGTTCCAGCCTTTTACCGCTTGGGCGCAGCACTGGTCGCGACGATAAATGAATTTGATTGGTTAATAATTAACACGTGGTTTGTTTACACGATGAATGTTAGTTTGTTCACACGATGAATGTTTTTAAAAGGTAAGATTATCCAATCGCCGTGAAACTTTAGGAAGTTATTTACTATACTACTGGGAAGATTTCTGGTTTGAATTTGATTTGAAATAAATATTTATAATACAATATAATGCGGCTTATGATTGTAGAGAACGACATTGGAAATTTATCCCGCATGTGTTTCTTTTAAACGAAAAATCTAAATTTATTTTAAGAAAATATAACAATGATTTCTAACCTTAGGGATAAAATATAAAAGTATAAATTGTGAAGAGTAATGATAAATGGAAAAATAATAGTGTCCAGGGATGTGAATCGAACCCACAGTGTTCCGCTTACCGGGCAGATGCAATGTCCACTAGGCTAAAGAAATTTCGTATATTTTTAATGGAATGTGAAAAAAAATTCAAATTATTTTTTTCATATGTTTAGATAGGGATGATATCACATAAAATTCTTATTTCCATGGCATTAAAGAGCCATCAATGTATTGTATCTATGTGAAATAAAATAGCGCACATTTTGTAATTGTCAAAACTATTTTCCTCATGGGGAATTAATGCTTTAAATAGGTTTAACTGTAATATATGTTTTAAATAAACGATCCATGTGTACTAATGTGACCTCTGACAATAATTAAAATAATTAGATACGGTAATTAATATAACGGCTTTTGTGCTCTAATGATTATCATTTCCAAAAATATTTAGAAACATAAACTTAGAGAGGTCAGTACACTATGAGAAATAGTAAAACTTCAACTTTTGTACAACAAATTTATTTTTTGTTTTATTTTTTCAAACGAACATTTCCATTTTAAAAATTCCTCTATCTAATTAACATTTTTAAATTTTCTTTTGAAAATAATCTATTATAGTAGTTTACAATAGAGAAATCAATTTCGAATTATAGATTTTATATATATCTTTGGCTATTGGATATTTTT